TTGAACTTAAGCCCGGCGACTAAGGCCATTAGCTGTTGTAGGGGTTATGAACTGTGGTAGGGGTAAAGTTGGTACGGTTGGTTTGTTTTTACGATTATTACGGTTGTTACGGTAGGTAGAAAACACGTGTATGTGTGGCAAGGTTTTGAACTACTATGAACTCGAGTGGTCACCCATCCGAGAACTAGTAGCTGTGGCCGTTACTTACTCACAGTCGCATTCCGCAACTGGTAGCAGCCAACGCGCCACGCCAAGCCACTAAACATAGTTACTTAATGACCAAACAAGAAAAAGAGGGAAAAACAATTTGTTATCACCGAAATGCCTAAGCATCGTAACACTATACACTTGATGCGGGCATTCCGGAGCTATCATTTTATGCATGACGCACAAGTATTAGATCGGAACTCAGTATTCAGTAGTGTCCTAAGTAAATAAATAAATTAATAGACAGAATATGATACGAAAGACGAAGGGTTACCACGGTAAAAAAATGCAGTCTAGTTGTGGAAAACTCCAAACTGTAGTCCAACATTGATACATTTTTATAAAAATTTAATTTTATTCAGTTCAATATTATTTATTAATTATTATTTTTTTTAAATTTAAAATCAGATTTGTCATCAAAAAGTCAATGTGTGGAGCTGCACACAGTCTTGAGCGCAGTAAACACAAACGACAAATTGTCCGATCACGATTAATATAAAAAAAACACGCTTATACTATTTTCATCGTTGATGCTTTATTAACGCTCAATATTTTAGGCTATGCCAGATTTAAAGCGACGAGTAAGATGCGTCGATTTCAAATCAAGCGGCCACTTAAGTGGTCCGGATGAGTCGCGCGGATCGGAGCAAGATGAGGAAAACAGCAATTAGGTATGTGGTGGCCGCGAACAACGACGCTTGTTCTATCGGAAGAACGTACGGAGTTCCGATTCTCACACATTTATTTCAATGATTTCGCACCAACCATTAACACCATGAGCAACGGCGCTATATCGTTTGAAATAATTTTTATGTTTGCTACAACCTGCTGCGGCCAGCAGTTATGGTATGGCGAGATGTAATTTCAGATAGAACACAGTCACTCAAATATTTAAAATTTGAAAATAAACAATGAAGACAAACCCATAACAGTAGGTTAGGATAAAATTCAACCACCCAATAGTATGGAAAGCTTCTTGTTTTGCATCAGGCATACTCATACGTACAGAATAGCCGCAAGCGTACAACCGTGAAAACCGAATCAGGGTAGGGCCGTCGTCGTATGCAAAGTGACAGTCACCCGAACGACAATGTCAGTTCCATAGGAAAACCGTACAGGTAATTATATATAAATTCTTATATATATATTAAATATTAAGTTTATTTAAATGAATTTGTACCAACATTCATCCAAAAGCAACGATACACAGCTAGATTACCAACAACTGCATGCGAAGATAAACACAATTTAGAAACTCGAAACCCAATCCTTCGAATTCAATTCCAAACATTGAAATGATTAATTTTACGATTTTTATGTATCACAGAATACTTTGTCGTTCAAATGAAAATATAAACATCGTGTTTATGTTCAAATTCAATCTTTCTACTTGAATCTCTTTAAAACAGAAACATCACTTTCAAAACTATTTTCTATCGTTAAACTAGATAAAATTTATTTAATAATGATTTTTTTTTCGCCAGAATATAGCTTAACGATGCCGTAAACTATCTAGACCATAGTTGAAGTTGCTTCCAAAATACATAAACAATAAAAATCAATAAAATGTAAAATTTATGATCAAATAGCACTCTACAAGTGTCAATATAACACCTATATGAAAAAAAGTTAACAAATTCGGGTTTTTTTTCTTTTAATGGATACTTCGATCATGAAAATATAAACATCGTGTTTATGTTCAAAATTCAATCTTTCTACTTTAATCTCTTTAAAACAGAAGTGTCACTTTCAAAACCATTTTCTATCGTTAAACTAGATAAAATTTATTAAATCTTTATTTTTTTTTTCGCCAAAATATAGCTTAACGATGCTGTAAACTATCTAGACCATATTTGAAGTTGACCCTGAAATACTGAAAAACCACTATTCTACTATAGCCACAATTCACAATACTTTTTAGTTTTCACATTTTTAATCGCAAGGAAAGTCCATAGGATAATTGGAACGGTTTACCCGAATATTATAGCAAACATAGGTATTATACCTTATAGTATAGCGTATAAACTACGAGGCAATTAAGAACGCGGTAAAATAGAGATGTGTGCGAATACATTCGTAAAAATTACAGAATCAAAACTCCTTTAGACAATAACTTCAAAATTAAGTAAGATTGACAAATTTTGACTGCACCAACGATCTTAACTCGTCAATGAAGCTTCACAAGTTTCAAAAAAAAAAAATCCTTTTTTCGTCATAAGCGCGATAAACTAGAGTGACATGCGATTGCGTAAAAATCGAAAAATAGTGAATTTCATTAGGCCATTGCTTTGAAACCAAGTCCGATCGCCAAATTCTGACTTCATCTTCGTTTTTCTCATACCAAAGTTACCCAACTACATAAGAAGAAGAAAACTGCAATGTCTTGGTGTCTGGTAAAGGAACGAAGTTCCTCTGAAAAGGTAAAATCAATGGGTCGCGTGGAAAAGTGGAAATCTGTAACTTGCGGGGGTTGGTTGTCATGGATATATAGGTTTTGTTGGTTTGTTACCTACATATTATTTAATGTGAAAATTAAATAAACATTTAGGTGTAGTGAGTAGTTAAATTTTTTTTACTTACACTCCTATTACGAGTGATCAAAGAACTAAAAAACATAAATACAAATTTAACATTATGTGCACAATGAACTCTAAGAATAATAATAATAATTATGTGACGTCTTACAGAGCGGGTCATAAATTGATACCCAACATACCGTTCGAAAGCAATGTAAGAGCGACTCAATTATAAATTTGTAAATTTTATACTTCACCAAATAGGTATAAATTCTTAAAGCCCGATAAAATGTCTGCGCACGATGCAGTCAAATTATAAAAACAGATTTTAAATTATTATAATTAATTCCGGTCACTAAAACAATATTAATGCACCTATTATGTTTTTAATCAGAGTATATTTTAAGAGGATAAACGAATCTTTTTCTTTTACCAAGGTATCATCACTGGACACTGGAATTGGATCGATGCCCAATATTCCAGAATTAAAGCAATGGAATTATGACACCTCAACAAGCATTCAACATGATTTTAAGATTAATACCATGGATCCTATGCATAGATCTATGAAATTAAATGTTGAACAAATTCATTATATCATGCCTCAATTGGAAAAAGTACAAAACATGATATCCACCAATTATTTTTAATGTTTGAAAATTTACAATAATCTTTATTACAGTATTGGTCAAATCCTCCTAAACCAATGTTCATGCCACCAACCGAGTACAATGATAAATACATACAACCAAAATTGATGTCGATTATTAAACAGATACCTGCCACAATGATTTGTGTAAGGAAATTAAATGATTTATTAAGAAATTAATCTCGGGTTGCATACACATTCACTAAACATTTAATCAATCCAATAGTGAGGTAACAGCCCATGATTAAACATGATTTAATGACCCATGGTTTGTTCATAAAATTTAGAATCAATTTCTTTTATGCAACTTGACATTAGAATTTCGTTGTTATTGAAAAACAGGTTCAGCCAACTCCGGTTACACGGAAAAATCTTAACACAGTACAAACGCTAAAAGTTAGTGATGGCGGAGCAATTAGAAAATTAGACCCGTATGTTAGTACTCAGAAGTTAGATTACATCGAAATAAATCCAGTAAGTACCAAGTAATGTATACTTTATTGGCAGTTGAAATTAACAGAATGTAGAGAAATAATATTATAATATACATTGGTTTGATTTACATTTAAACATTTAATTAAAAAAACATTAGGATATAGCAAAACAAATTAATTCTAAAAGTTCAAAATTACAACCTGTTATGCCAGCGTACAAGCCGTTTTACAATGAACCAATATTCAATCGACAAAATACTATACGTGTATTGCCAAACACTTTAAAACATGTTCCACACAAGTAAATTAAATTTGCAAATTGTATCTGAAATTAAATTCATTGAGCAAATCATGTTTTATTTTTTCAGTTGCCTTATATCTGAAATGAGAGCTTCATATAAAAAAACATTTCATACATCAACATTTGTTGATGCTGTAGAAATGCCAATATCCATTTCAAGGAATCCAACCTTGTCTCAAATATTGTCTGTACCCGGGATGTACACAACTGAATACTCAATAATTGGTGGAAATTAATAATACACAAATTTATTATACAATAGTAGTTAACTAAACAATTATGAAAATATAATTTTACAGTACTTAGACTTGTTTATTTCAGTCCAAATATTGTTTTAATATTTGTTGTAGTAGAGTCATATCATAGTAATCAGCAATTGCTTTAAATGTCTTTAGATAGGACATCATATCATTTCTGGGAATTACCGTTGTGAAATTACCAGCACATGAACAATAAGCATTTAGATTTTCCATTTTTATCTGTAAAACATTGGAGCTTTGTTATAACAATCCACTGAGACAATTTAAACAAATAAATTTGTTACATTTACTATACACATACTTCTGAGCATTTTGTACACTGTAGATCTTGTAGGGTATAGGCCATTACTTTTCTACCAAGTGCATCAATCAAAAAATGTTCAATGAGCATATTATCATAACTACTGTTGCAATTGGGACATAGCCATGTTTTTCTAAAAATATCATTTAAGTACATTCAAGTTATTTTTAAACATTTGATATGATATTATTGTTATTATTCTGAACAGTAAACATACTTTCCATCAATTACACTTCGATGAGAATCTTTACACAAATCTATATCTCGGCAATGATTACAACTTTTACAGATTACTTCAGGTAATGTCCAAGAGAGACATGGATCTGTCCAATCAGCTTCATCACTAAAATTACCAACAGCAATTAAGCGTAATAGATTTTTTCTTAACTTCATAATATCATCTTCAATTCCAAAATCCAGTGAAAGTACCTTAAATATATTTGACATACAAATTAAATTGAATCAAATACTTCTTAAAGAAAATAACTTACTTTGCAAACAGTTTTCACAAATTGCAGAGCTGGATTTAAATGTTTTCCTTTATTTTGCAAGAATGGAGAAAGCGTTTCCTGGAGTTCTACATCCAACACTGGATATTTTTTATAAATTTTTTGTGTTATCCTATTTAAAACATTATATTATAATTATAGTTGAATTAAATAGGGTAATATATAAATGCATTTTATTTACGAGAATAATCTTGTAGTGAGTTCTTCTGAAATTACGGTTTTTGCATATTCTGCTATACTTTCACATGATGCAACACCTAACATGTTACTTTGGGTGACTTGTGATAATGATTCTGAAATACGTTTCAGGGTCACAGAATCAATTGACCGCATGTGTTTATAAATTGCACTCATGTAAACAGCAATTGTTTCTTCAAAATGTTTACGAGCATGACAAACATTGGGTAAAAATTCAGATATATTCCAATTCATTTCAATCCCGACCTAAGAATGTATGATATAGAATAAGTAAATATTATTTTTATTTTTTAGTACAATTCAATATACTTCTTCAATATCAGGTCCAGGTGCTTTGTGTTCCTTGAGAAGATGTTCAACGTCTTCATTAGACATATCAATTATATCTCCCATCGCTTCTTTTAATTTATCAGAAAACTTAGCTTTAACTCCAGAATAATTCCACTGTTCAAAATTTTAAAAGAAATTATTAGGTGTTAACGGTATAATTCACAATGGTTGTAAAAATTAGTTTTACCAAATCTAGCCACATCAAATATTCCCAACACGGCCCTAATGATATTTGTAAGCTGTGGAACAGTTCTTTGTTAGTAATGTTTTGTACAACATAGCGCACATAAAAAATTGCATCTTCGAGTGATTTTTTCTTGGTACATATTACTATTTTATTGAAGTTGGCAAATATTATAGTAGAACCGAGCCGTTTGAATTCTGCAATTAACTAAAATATAAGGAAATGGTAGGTATTAGTCATAGTCATATTGTATTATTATTTAATACAAAATTTATTTGTAACATTTTATATCAATGCAGTACTCACTTGCATAAAAAGTTTTCTCATCAAACTGTAAAGGGTTTTGCGTAAAGCAGGATCATACAATAATGCATTTGGTGATCTTAGCCACCTGACAGATGATTAAAAAATTATAACTCAATTATATAAAAGATCAAATTTTTGTTTAATGACTGGTATAGTGGTTTGACACATTAAATTATACTTATATTACCTGTAAAAATGTACCATTTGAAAATCGGCAAATGGATTTTTGTGGAGCACAACATCACGAAACCAAACATTTACCATTGATCGTAAGACACGAAAAGCAGCTGAACACAATGCTATTTCATCGTAGGTTGGTGTTACAAATGTTCCACCATCCATTATTTCTTCAAGAGAAGCTTGAGGTATTTGATCAAATGCAACACCAGCACTTGTACCTAAGATATTTATTGATAGAAGGTGTTTAATAATATGAATATGATAATGAGTCGTAAGTTAAGTTAATGTTTTCAAATAAAATATAAATCGTTGTTAATGCATCTGTGTACTAGAGTAGACGTCTCCTTCATGAATCAAACGGCGTACATACAAAGAATACAAATTATTTGTTGTTTAAATATTATATACCTTCAAAATCATGAATATGATGTGACTGTAATAATGTTGTTACAGGTAAGGCATCAATTTCAAGTTCTATACAATAGGAAGTATAACAGCCTTCATTATTGACAAGCATACTTGAACTTTCTTCTGAGTCCATTAACATTCTATTAAAATAATAATAATAATTGGTAACAAATAAAGGCAATGAGAAAATGAACTGTTATATCATAGTTAAGTTATTCATACAAATAGGGATGATTACCTATTGTCATCTGTTTCACGCCCACCTAAATCAGGTTTATCAGTTTCTGAAACCCATAACACAAAATTGTGTTTCATCAAATGCCTAGCGAAGAAAATATCTGATGCAAACAATGTTACATCCGCGGGTAAATTGCCAAGAGGTATTTGTAGATATCTACATTGCTCCAACATAATATTTATGTTTTCTGGACTATTTAGATAGTGGTTAACAATCAAACTGCACCCTAAACGTTGCCATTCCATTTGAGCGTACATAGAGGCAGTAGAGTCTTGTACGTGAAGAGTCACCACTGGGAATTCAGTCATTATTGGAATATTGGACAGCAATACTTGACTGTCTAAATTCACATACAAGATTAATGATTTAGAAATAACATTACATTGGGCTTTACACTACCTATTGGGGATTGAATCACCAGCATCGTAGGTCCTCTTTTTTCATCCCTATAAGATTGAAGAGTTCTCTGTATTTGTCGGTAAACTTGCCTTTCTTCTGTTTCCACTCTAACTTCAAAAGTGACATCAGATGGAGGGATATTTGATTCGTTGTGTCCACGAGAAATTCTTAAGACATGACACGAGTAGAGCAAAAAAGTTAGTTAAAAAAAATTCTCAAATTAATCATTTATCAAAAAATATTACTTGGTATTACGTTCTTTGCTATACAAAGTGTTTAAATTTGCCATACGATTTGTACGAACCGTATCTGTGACCCAAACAAACGCTTTTTTACTAGGTGTTAAAAACAATGCATACATGGCTCGTAAACCCGTTGGCGCTTTATTGCAGTACAAGAAAATATCTTTTATAGAGCTCTAAAAATAAATTTTTCAATTGGTGTAAATTTTTTGGATTAAACTGAAGAAAAAAAATGCACTAACGTTAGTTAAATATTTATGAGACACTTGTTTCATTTGTTCTAGTGAAAAATGTCCAAGATCTGGCAATGCGGCCATTTTTTTTGCTGCTTCCAAAGTAACAGAACACATACATCCAAGGTTTAATAAAGCCCTTAATTCAGGCGTAACTTTGGTTTCATATATTCCTTCGACGCCAGGTTTAGATAGGTTGCACATAAAATGACTAAACAGATATTGAGTTTAAATAATTGTAAGATCAAAACATGAAATTCACTTACTCTTTGGTTTCACCAAAATCTTTTTCCAAAACTGTGTACTGGTACAAATTCAAAACTGGTCTGGCCCTGGGCAATATCATGTTCACTTTAGTACAAGAAATATGTTTTTCATTAACATAAATTTCAGTTTGCCTCTGATTTACATAAAAGAATCTAGGTACATTCATTCGAATATTGTGCAACTCATCTCCAATCATAGCCCAAAGTTTTAAAACACCGGGTTCACCAGATTGACACACCTGTATAATTTGCCAGGGTTGACTCAGGAGTGTTTGCTGTGCCCGCCTTAAAAATCCTCCTAGAGTACCAGCACGTCCTTTAGGAACGTGTATTTGATCGTCCCGCATACGTTTCCCATGTAAACCAATAATTTTAGCTCTCATTTCAAGTTGCCAATTCCATTTTTTCTTTTGGTACACAATCCAATTCTGAAAATATTATACCAAACTACAAATTAGTGTCAATTACTATACATTTTCTACTGTCATCATTTATCAACTTGTTAACATGTTAAACAAAGAAAACATTTTATAATACAAAACTATTTTCAAATATAATCAGTTTATACTTAGAAAAAATTATCAATATATTATTTTAAGTTGTATGCAGACCTGAATATCACTAGCTGGAGGTGGAGGTCCTAAAGCTTCTTTCCAGTTTCTAGAATCAATTGGAGAAGGGTCGCGTTTACGCTTTTTGGTTACCATTGGTCTTGGTCTAATTTCTACATGGTTATTATCTTCATTTTCTCCAAAATCTTCAATATCTTGAATTTCGTGTTGATCAGTCAAATTTTCTTGCACATGCTCTGGCATTGCTTGAAACATAGTTGTAATTTTTCTTTGCTTCAATGGATCAGCTTTCATCAACATTTTTTTATGTAACCAATCAGGATGTTTGACTCTTGGGACTGGATTAGCAATCTAAAACCAATTTTGAGAATAATTTAAATAATTTATAGATTTATTTTTAGTTTTGAAGCAATAACAAATTACTTACTCCTTGCAAAGTTGCTGGAATAGTAATGATTTTCTGAATGGTGCCACTTAAACGTTCTATATAATAATCCCAATCAAGAACATCACGAATATCAATATCATCAATTGAATTGTCACCAAGCCATCTTCTCAAATAATGTCTTTTTACACTTAACTCGGATTGAAATATAGCTAATGGTATAGCTCTTTGTGTAACTGGAGTACCTTCTGGTTTTTTGGATATTATAAATCGACAAGCAAGTCCTTTGTCTTTTACCATTTGATCGCCTAAAAATTCAGCTAAACGCTTAGCTGTTGATATAGAAGTTGATTTTTGAGCTCCATAGTCTTCAAGCTTGCGGCTCATAGAACGATTTTCTGATATCAGTTCAAACAATTCAGAATCTGGCATGTTTTTACCCTATAACAAGACATTTTTTAGATTTTTTTATTTAACTAACATTTAGAATCAAATTATTTTATGCTTACTTTAGAGTATAAAACGTCTAGCCAATAATCAGCAACAGTTGCGACACTTTCATAACATTTTTCTAATGTATCGCCTTTTAAGAAAGCTTCAAACACTGATGATTGAAAAATCTTAATAATTTGAAGTTCTCCCCTTCTTTTAACTTCAAAACTAACAAAATTGCAACTCATTTAATTTAGTTTAAAATGTGTAAGTATTACTTACCCTTTTAATTCAGCTAGTGATTTATCTAAATTGAACACTGCGTAACGCTTTTTTAGTTTTTTCCCCTCTTCTTTAGAAGCCGGTAAGACCATTGCTAAATAAGGACCGTCGACTTCAAAGAAAATAGAATTTTCACTTCTTTGTTCATAAATTAGATTTTTTGAATCAACTAAGTCATGGTAGACATGATTGGTGAAATGTTCCTAAACAAGATTTGTGATTAATTTTTATTAATTAAGTGAATATAAGTATAAAATAATTTATTCCACAAACTTTGACCATTGAGTTCAAAACTGCATTTGGAAATGATACAGTAAATTTAGTTTTTTTTGCATGTGTTGATTTGACATCATAATTTTCAGGAAATGTTGATGGAAGTACACACCATATACCATCGGTATCTAATTCTAAAGGCCGACCAATTTTCTCAATTATTTCACGAGCTTTTTTAATTATAGCAGCACCAGTACAACACACTATTCCAGCCATTTCCATGCTATGCCAACGTGCACTGTAAATGGAACAATAAATTAAACAAATAAGATTTTGTAATAAACTATTCAGCTAGGTAGATTATGGCCAAATCTAATAGAACACCCATTTCAGGATTTCCCCAAAAATTGTTTTTACGGAAGGGAGAACATTTTTCCATTTTGAAAATGTACACATTAGTATAATATATTAAATTATAATTAGTAAAAAAAATAGTTTGTAACAATATGTATAACACAATATCATTTAAGATTTAATATTCAACTCTATACTTCACATTTACATATGAACCGAATTTTAATGTAATTTATTATTTTTTTTAAAGTAATGGAGAGCAGGGATAATCACCCCATCAACAACCTTCAGAGAGATCTTTACCCATCTCAAAATTGCAATCTTTTATAGTACAAAATTAATTAATTAAAATAATTATTGTCCGTAATATAATATTCTACTTAGATTTAAATATTTAAAAATAAGCATATTACGATATCACAATACCACATTATTTTATACTTTATACTTTTTATACTATGTTATGCTAAACTAAACTTTGTGAAAAAAATATATTCAAATTCTATACTTATAAAATACTTTGCAAAATAATTTTGTTGCAACATATTACTAAAACAATAAAACTGAAAATTAATAAATATTTTTTTCAAGAACACAAATCATAAGAGATCACTTTGAAACATACACTTTTTAAATGTTAAATAAAAGTGCATATATTTATATATTTTTATAAAAATACTATTTGAGGTAGATACTAAAATAAAAGCCCTATGTTATATTAATGAATGATACTAAATACATGACTATTAATTACCCTTTTCTCATGACATATCCATAAAATGAATTAAGAATACACTTGTGTGCTAATTGTAACGAATCATATAATATTTCACGGTTTTTAGCTGATTTGATTTCCACAGGATCACCAATTGTTATTGCTTCAGATATTTGTTTTTTAGCTACTTTACAGAGCCCTTTATACTCATAACGTCTATCTCTGAACGCTCTAACTGTATCAACGTAAAAAGAATTTTCTTTTTGACAAATAGTTGTAGAACGTTCTTCAATTTTGGTTATGTGAGTTTTTTTATATACTTTGCGACAATATTCAGTCAATCGTTTCTTTTCCCAAGTGGCTCTTTCATCTCGTCTCAGTTGGTGAAATGCTCTAGGAGGGTCATTAGGAAATTGACCGGGGAACTTCTCAGTTTCTAATTGCTGTTGGATACGTTGAAACTCGGTTCTTGAGGCAGGCACTAAAAATCAAATAAGTAAATTATAAAATAATCATTTTAAATAGTTAAAGAACATACTAAGTTCTCCTCTCCATTGCCAGGTCATAGTTCTTTGGCATTTAGCACCTGGAACATTAAAATCACAAGCAGCACAAATTTCTTCATTAACCATAGCTGAAGGTTGCAATCGATTTGTAAGTATAATATTAGGGTACATAGCGCCAACATCCAAATGGTATATTAATGGTTTCAATAGTGGATAAGGATCTGCTTTTAGAGCTTCCAATTTTTGAACAACATCTTTCAATATTTCATCTAAATTTGTCACACTATCCATAGGGACTTTTTCTTCTTCTTCAATTGAAAATCTAAATATTTCAGATGCTTTCTCAATGAGCATATCGAAAGCTGATGCATCTAGTCTAAATCTACAAGGTATGTCAGCTCGAAATACACCGGATTCTAAAGCTTCTACATGGCCACCAACATAAGTCTCTTGATCTAATACATGGCCATTGTCACTAAGTTTATTTAGCACTTGTTCTTGTTTATTTGGAAATATAATGTTTGCATGAAATGCTTCTACCATCAAAAGACTTTCACATAGTGTTCCAGATCCTTTTCTTAACACCTAAAATGTACACATCTTATAAAAATACTTATAATAAAAGTTTTTTATTTAATAGTTTATAAATTGTGTTGAAAATTTATTGGCTAACCAATAATAAACAATGTGCATTTTAAATTAGTACTATATGTATTGTGGTTTAATTTAACAAAATACTACCTATCACTTATTAGTAGAATTATTTATGAAAATTAAAGAACTGTGTGTTGCAATAACTTCTGTATAAACTATAACTTAAAAGTTTACAATTGAAACTGTATCTCTTGTTGTAACATACAGTAAAACCTCATTAATCTGGACAGCTGTTAAATACCACGTTAACTATGTATTGTTTGTTTTGTGTTGCAGACTAAAATAGACATGAAAACAAGTTCCAGAAATTTTCCATGAATGCAAGTTATTGCAAATATTTTTTTATCAAGAGATAATAGTAGAATGTAGGGCCAATTGCACTAATATTATGTTGCATTTTATTTTATATAACATTATAAATACATATTCTTAAATTTAAGATACACATTTTTTGATTATTTTTTTTAAATGAGACTTTCATGAATTCGGACAACCTAGAGCCCTGATTAGTCTGAATTAGTGAAGTTCTACTGTATTAGCATTAGTTTGATAATTTAAGACTTATACACTTGTGTTTGAATTATAAACAATGTTATAACTAAAAATTAAATCTAACACAGATAAATTACAAATTAATTAGTTCATACATCTTTAAAATATGTATGGCTCTTAGCATAGGTACAAAATGACTAAATTTTTTGGGGGTACTCAAGCTCCCATCCCTATTGGCTATATAATATAAATAAAATTATAGTACTAAATTTTTAACTGTGGGGACTTGACCGAAATTTGGGGTGACTAAGTCCCCTTAAGCCCCCTCCTATTTGCGCCAATGGCTCTTAGCTGTACTAAGGTCTGAGAATACAATTTTTTTTTCTCAATTGATTAATTTTATTTATTATTTGGAAAATACTATACAATAAAACTTCAAAAATGTAAATTGATAGCTTCACAATGACTTAAAACACAAATATATTAAATTATTTTATCAAAATTGTAAAATAGAAGTTTATTCACTAAGACAGGAATAATAATTTTACTTATGTATGTTATTAAAAAAAATGATATAAGATTTAATTGAGTTATAACTTTGTCAGTGCACAATTAATAGTTTAACAGTAACATATAATATAAGTTTTGATCCAAAACCACAACAATACACTAAAATCTAAAAACTTGAAAATTAATAAAAAACCTGAAAAATTGCTTTAATAGGTGTTGGTGTACCTTTTCATAGGCCAACCTAAACTTAGCTATTCAAATTGAAAATTGCATTCATTTTCAACTACAAAATAATTTTTAAATCTGTGACTTTAAATCTGCAACAAATTTTCAACTAAAATTTTAAGTGTTTATAATTATTATTTTATGTATTAAAAGAAAAACCAAAATTTATCAGTTAAAAATAGTTGTACATTTTTTCACAATCATCTTAGAATGAAATCATCTAATAATCAAACACTAGTTACACTAATCAAAATTCAAGTTCAAAATATGTAGATATTACAGTATTCAGTTATTTTTCATATTTTAGGTATGTAGTATAAAATAAATAAATTACTGAACATGAATCAATCAACTGAAATTATGTTCTATACCTAGTACAAATATATGTGTGTCTATAACCAACAAAATAAAATTATAATTTGAAAATATGTTTATTATTATAAGTGGATAAAAAATGTGAATAATTAATTTAAATAGATTGGATCATTTACTAAAACTTAACTGTTACAGAACAAGACATGTGACACTTTGACATGTCATTAATGTTATTTTATTTACCTTCAGAAGTTGTTATTGGGTAATGGGAAAATGTAACAACATCTATTAACATTTAATATATGTCAATCAAAAATTTAATTAATTTTCCTTCTATAATTATTAATAATCTTGACCCTTGTTCAATCATCACCTTAATGCTACTTGATGCGTTTTAATTATTTACAGTTATTGGGTCTTTACTTAGAACTCCTACATAATATTAAGACAGGAATGAAATCATTATATAAAAGACCAACAACGGCTGACAATAATCAGTTTACAACCTTTCACAACCTTTCTGCAAACCACATCTATACTTATTTAAACATTTATCCAAGGTATGTAGTTTTTTAAATGTATAGCCATAGTATAATATGGGTAGTAGTTTAGTTTGGTATTTAAAAATTGTAATTGAATGTTACTGAGATTTAGATTAACATGCAACTTTTATTTATTTATTTACTCATTTTTTTATTATTTTAGAATACAATGAAGATAAGTCTATGTTTGAGTTTAATCCTCTTGACATTAGTCATCAAGATAGTAACAGCCGATCTGAAACTACCACCTCAACAATACTGCGGTTCTAGATTGGCAGACATAATGCAAGTTGTATGTAAAAATAAGTACAATGGTCCACCAGTTGGACAAAAAAGAAGTAAAATGGGTAAGTCCATAACGTTACACATTATATAATTTTTTTAACTAGGTAACCTAAGAATAATAAATAATTAAATTCAAAATAAAATTCTGAGCGAGGTTAAGTTCACTATTCATTGTTATTGATTCAAATTTAATGTCTATAAGTTAATATACAGAATTTCAAGGTTCTTAGTAAAATAAAATATATCAAATTGATTTAAACATAGTAATATCATTGTGAATAAAAAATTTAAATTCTATCATATTCAAGCTTTTTATACGGAAATTTAAATTCAACTGCATATTATCTAATATATTATTAAATGTTATAATTAAAACGAATTTTTTCTTTAATATTACTGTATTATTTTTTTTTTATGGTAGCAGTACCATAAAAAAAAAAAATATGGTTTTCAGAAAGTATTAAACATTTAACAATGTAGTAAATTGTATTCTCATTTCATGTTTAAATTATTGATACACACACTTATTGAGAAGACTTTTTTATTATAAAAATTGATTTTAACAATTACTATTTACATTTCACAAGTTTAATGAGACACTATATAAGACACTTTAAGATCATTTATGGGCAATACAATTTTAACACAAAAAAAATGTATTGATTTACTCCATCATAAATCTTAACATCATTAAAATAATACTTAAGAATTTTAATATTTTATTAATAGATTCAGATGTATGGGATTACAAGGACCTAGAAGACTACAATGCAATTGATTATCCATACCAACCTAGGCAAGAAACAATGTCATTTATGCCCACACGTATACTACGTTCTTCTAAAAGAACAATCATTGATGAGTGCTGTCGCAGACCCTGCTTAATATCTGAACTAAAAGGTTATTGTGCTAATTAAGACTAATACCGTTTAGTCAAAAGTGTTTTTAGTTGCTGAATAAAGTTCTTACTATTATTATATAAATGTAATATTTATTAAAATCCATACCTCATCGGGCTCCATAGGGATGATTGTGCATAAAGCAAATATGAAAGGATGAACATATTTCATATATAAATAATAAGTCGCAACAGCGTCTGACACTGAATAGTTAGAAAGTACTTGAGGTTCATCTGTGGCTAGTCGACACATATCTTCTGGATCGAGCTCAACGGGATCATAACGTAATTTAGCTTTAGCAACAGCTTTTAAATTTTGTGATCCTACCGGAAGGTAAGAATCTCGTTTTACCCAACTGAAAAATTAAAATATACCATAATATTAAACATTTAATTTATCAATAAATAAAATTCTCATTAGTCATTTATAATATCATAATACATGATATTTTATAAAATAAAAATAAATTTATTAATGTTTATTTTTTATTAAGTACTAAAACATTTAACATTGACAAAAAAAAAAGCTGTGATCTGAATAACTAATAGATAAATAAATTTTGAATGACCATTTTAAGTGTTAACACTAAGTTTGCTAACAAATATGATAGAATATTAAAATAATTTCATATATTTTGTGTTAACACATATTATTATTTTTGATTTTTATTAAAACCTTATAATCCTTTAAAAGACATTATACATGCTAAAAATAATTTACACAAAGCAAATATATATATTAATTCACAACTATTTAAATAACGATAAGGTTAATTTGTTTCCTACCATAGACAATCCATATGCATAGCAGGCCGACAACTATATACTCCAGCTGTGTTTTTAGAAAATCCTATTTCTTGAGACATATTTAAATCATGAACTGCTGCTCGAGTTTCCACAAATGGCCAATCAAAAAAGTCACCATTGTATGTTACAATTATATGAGGGCGAATTTCCATAATGTGCTCAAAAAAACGACTTATCAAAGCAGCTTCATCAGGTTCATTAAAAACAGTGAATAGACCTAAAATTATCAAGCTTTAGAATTCATAATATGAGTATTTATAGGAAAACAACTGAATTACCTTCAAATTCTGGTGTCGGTGTGTACTCAAAATCAACAACATCTGCAGAAATAATTTCTCGATTATTAATTAAATATCCTTGACCATCAATCATATATGAAATCATCATAATTTGATCAGTATTTGCATCTGGAAATTTCAGTGGAAGTTTTGTGGTTTCAATATCATATGCCAAAACAATCATGTCAGGTCGGTCTATAATGTCATCACGTTGAGTAAATGTAGCTTGGTTATAGGGTCCACGACATTGGACTGTATACCACAATCCAGTGAATATCTTTAGATCTGTAGATACTCGGATATGATATACTACATCGTACTCTCTAGAAAAATTCTTAACACTTTATTATATTTTCTTATATGTTTTGTATTGATACATTTTTAAAAATATTTTGGCATTTTTTGAGCTATTTATAAATATTTTAAACTATCAACTTAACATGGCGTTCATTGTAAGATCAATTTATCAACCTTATTTATTATTATTTATTATATAGGTGCATTATGTATTTCTAAACATAAAATGATCAAATGTATAACCTGATATCAATTATATTTTCCATGTGATCAACTTGCTTCTTTGATGAGACAACTTCAGATAAATTAGCTAAAGATTCTGTCAACATTTCTGTGTAATAAGAATTATTTTTTAGTGCTAAACGATTTTTTCGGACTGCTGGCATTATAGCTTGGCGCATTTTATTCATTTCAGTAACTGTTGCGAATGAAATTTTTATATATCTTTGTTGTAAGCCTATCAGATGATTTGGCTAAAAATTTAATATTATAATTTAATAATTAATAAGATAAAATGGCTAAGAATTAGAATAAACATAATTATACAATAATTACCAAGTCTAGGTCTTCTTTCATGACAGTGTCTATACTTGTAAAACTACCAGCAAATTTTTTACTTATGTAAGCAACAACTTCTTGAATATATTCTTTTTTAGCTAATAGATAGAAATATGGTTGAAATGGTTGTGTGACTCTAAATCGAGACCCATCATCTTTGATGAAATAATAATCAACAGCAGCTACCAAACGTTTATCCTCATCAACAATTTCAGTCTACAAAAGTTAATAGTAATTATTATTATCAAACAAGTAATAACCCATGACGGACAAGAGTACAATGCTTTAAATGCAAATATTACTTACGCTATGCATGTTGATGAGATAACCAGTATGCTCTTGGTAATCTTTAACGCGGAAAAACCCATATTTGTTGTCAATTAAATCATTTTCTATAGATTGTTTCAATCGAACATCACTGGAATCCTCTTTGAATTGGCTTAATAAAAATATTCAAAATATAAGATTCAAAGTAAAATGCATACCTAGTATTATACATGACTGTGTAAGATGTGTTGTTATAAAGGTACATACTTAAAAAATGACTTCTCCAAGGGTTTAACAAAACGACCTGTATTTCCAGGAGCCATGTTTGCAAGTTATAATCAATCTAGAAATTCGCTAGAGCAAACCGGTGTGCGGTACCGTACCGATTATTTTGATTCTGATTCATGACTCTGGTTCATGTTGATCTACACGACACCGGTCCGGTTTAGATAGAAATTCGGAATATTGATCGGTTTACCCCCACTTTTTTATTTAGTTGATATGAGTTACCCGCGTTTTTTTAAATATCTTTGTCATAACTTCATTAAAATTGTAATAATAGGTAATTATTAATGTATTATTTTCCCGCACTTTTCGTACAATTAAGTAATTAATAATAGACATATAAATCGTATAATATAACACACACACACACACACACATATTATATTATATAAATAAATAAGTTTAATATTTGTCATTAATTTTTATTTAAATTTTTAATTTCATTCTGTCATTTGAAAAGTTTTATCATTAAAAATGGATAAAAATAATCCTAGATTTAAAGTATTAAATGATTTCATTATGAGTAAAACTAACATAAGTAATTTTGTAGTGCAAGGATGTCCTATTCGTGAAAGTGAGCTTTGATGCTGTTGTTTAAATAACTTCATAATAATATTATTATTAATAATATTTTATTTGTTAATACCTACTTATTAGATGTATTAGTTCATCTTAACGAATTTACTTTTAATGATACATCACTTGGTCTAAGTAAAAATAAACCGGTGCATTTTATTTTAAATCGGTTTAGTTCAGCGAATTTCTTTAAACCAAACCGATTTACATTTTAAGGGGAAATTTAAACCGGTTTGCTCTAGCGAATTTCTAGAATATAAGTTAACTTTGTGGCGAACCACCGCCACATAACTACCTCCCACCGTTGATCATGATTGTAAAACGGTTGGTCACAGTGATTCCCGGCTGACGACGATTACCGCGGCGCGGCGGCCGCAGGTGGCAGGTCTCTTCTCTTCCCTCGCGACCACGTAACCGACCGCACGTTCTACGCCTTCGCTTCCGCCATCGACCACCGATACATTTTGAATTGCGACCTTTTGCAAACTTCGGCAAATCTCATCGTGACCGACCGTTATTTATTTACATACGCACTCAACTACTAAAGTGCTCCCTGTTGTAAACCTAACGCCCGTTGTACAAAAAATATATAAATTACCTTTAACCAGGCGTCAATCTTTTTTGTATTTTTTTTCGTACTGCACCCCGTCTTAACGACGTACGTTGGAGGCGCTCTGTAGTGATAACATCAGAACTTCCACATTGGTGACCTCGACGTGATCGTTGCTCCCCTCTCCAGTTCTCACCCGTCCGACCGCACAGCTGGACAGAGCACCGGCACCGCGCCTGCTCTCGCGTCCCACGGGTCACGGCACGTTGAGACTGGGGGGGAGTAATGTGGCGGACCACGTACGGGCCACATAAGACTCTGCGCACGGGCGCAGAGCGCTCTCTGGTTGTTCGTCTCAACGACAGCGGACTCGGGGAGACAACGACTAAACAGCGGGTCGTTGTGGCGATTTCTCCCCAGTCACGCTACAGGCGCTTCAAACTATATAAAAAGAGACACCGAACACCAGACCAACGTCCTCACGGACGCCGGCCGGTCAAATCTTTTGTGCGCCCCCACCGTGCCGCCAAAACTTAAACAAGTTAAATTAAGTCATACGTAGAAACATGGTCAATGTATTCTCAAATACTCAATAGAATGGCTAAATATACTTACCATCGCTCAATCGTAATTAGTTAATTAATACTGAATAATGAATGTCTGAATAGGTATTAAGTACGACTCTACAATATAAGACCTTAGCAAAACCTTATGAATAAGACAATAATAAGTTCATTGTGATAATACATTGAACAAATTGGCGGGAATTTTAATCATGGATGAAACATTATTTGATGTTCATTGATAACATTTTGAAGCGGTAAAAAAGACGAAATATGAAACCATGGCCATAATGCCCGTAAAAATATTATAAAGATAGACTATATACTATATAGTGCCACTCACGTACAATTGTACAAAAGTTTACTGTACACTTTATTGTACAATAATTTTATGCATCTGAACAAATGTACAATGTACCAGTATACAGTAACAAATGATCTGTCCAGATTTGCCTCAAGTAATATCTAATATCTAATATTCTAATAAGTATAAATTGGCAAAGCTAGGCAGTAACTAGTTTAAAAAAAAAAAGAATATAAGAAAATAATTAAGTTAGTAACTTCTCAGTAAACTTAATGATTTTTATTTCTGTACAACACGTTTAAAGATATAATTTTTAAAAATTGTGTTCACTTGAATAAAGTTAAGTCTGCTTAAGCTTTGAAAAAGTTACAATAGGTGGTCGAACCCGATTAGACGATTCCATATTAGAACTGTTCCAGAATATTTTTTTTTGAAACATTAATTATTGTAAAATGCTGGTGTTAATGTAGTATGTTCATTGTTCATGTTGTATAGTGTACCAAAATGAATAATGTATCTAAAAGTTATTTGCATTTTGTAATTTATTCTAAGTATTTGATGATAATGACAATCACCCTTATCTAACATAATGACAATTGTATACATTATACTTGCAAACAATTAGGTATTGAATTATACTCTAGAATCATTGTTATTAATAAAACTGCTTTAGTATAGATGAATGTTATGAGGCAAATTCTCACACTAAATGTAAACAATCCAACATTAGGCTACAAAAGCATATACTTTGATGACTAACAGAATTGTAGAAAGCCATACAAAAATGGTTTTGAAAATTTAAAAAACTAAAATAACTTATGTCAAGGGTCGTCTTTAGGTACATACAGTGGGCAGAATTTTCCTACAGATTATTGAGCCATTATTTATTTAATTTTCCATGAAGTTTACTGTTTTAATATTTTCCTGTTGGTTGCAATATATAAAAGGTGGATACCGCTCTACTATACTGTAGCCTGTAGGTAACACACTTGTTAGTGGGGTCACTGTAATGGGAGGTATTAAGTTTGAATTCAATGATATGATATCCATATCATTACATACGAAAAACAATTCGGAGTGGAAATGGTCTAATGGTCTATCAGTCAGCCTATATAATAATAATATTTTTAAATTATAACAAATTAACAAAATCGTTATTTTTCATATCTTATATCATCCAAATTAATGTATTTTTAAACTTAAAAAGTAATAAAAAAAAACTTTGTTACTAATCTTTTTTAAATTTTTCGGTGATCGTATGAATAATTTTTGAGATACGTTGTTTAAATTTTTAATCCTCAGCTATAAAAATTGAAAATTTGTATACTTTTGTATGTTTATAGCTAAATACAAAATAATTTGAGAAATTGTGCCTATTTATCTTGAATATTTTTAAACTGTTATTATAACAACTTTTGACGCAACTCATATTACATTTTCAAGATATTTGACCAAAACAAAAAAAAAATGAATGAACATTAAAAGAAAAAATTTTTAAATGTTTCTAAAGAACTCAAACACTTCAAAATATTTTGAACATTTTATCATTTATAGAAAATGATAAAATAAATATTTGATGGCAATTTACTTATAGTTAATATTAGATTTTGAATTACAATAAAATAAGAAAATCGTTCAATGAGAATTCGTTAATTTACTGCTGAAAATCCAATTGGGATTTTTTGGATTCACCAAAGTAACACCGGTCATTAACTGGGCTTCTGCTCAGCTATGTGGACGAAGTATACATGTAAGCAAGGACGAAAATTCATATACGTTTTATTAATGGATTAGCTAAGACTGCATAAATGAAAAATGGGACAGTGGGATGTGGGAATTTATGTACTGTTCAGTGGATGCCGAGTGGGAAATTATTAGACGAGACAAAATAAAAATAAAATTGTAAGTATCATTTTTCAAGTCCCATCTATTAAAATATGTTGCGTACACTACTGAGCCATCCTATCTATTATATAGACCCAATAACTCGCCGACGCGTATCATATTAAAAAAATATCTGCATGGTAATGATTTCGAAACGGTTATGCTGCTTTCACAAAATTGTTCACTAATAGTCGTATTAATTATATGTATTATTCGTCAGGTTCTGAAAGTATTTATCAAAGTTCCTGTACTACTAGGTAAGTATTACAATATTTTGTAAATGTTTTTTTTTTTTTTTTAATAAGTACTAAAAATAATTAAATAAAAATTGCCTTATTTTCCATAAAATCATTTTTAAACTTTATTTTCACTTGTTATGTGTTTTTTTCTATAATTTATTTATTACTTCAAATTACCTTATATAATATTAACCTGCGCAGTATACTTGTAAACGTTTAAGAGAAATATTACAATATTTTGTTTTTATATTGGATTATAATACACATTATATTATAATGTACCTATTAATAACTTCACATTTTTTTATATCATATTATTAACTATTTATTATTTTTAATTTTAAAATTTTAAAGACAAATGCATTGTTGTTTCCTTGTCATGACGAAGCCAACAAACTCATTGTTAAACTATAATTAAATAACAACGTTATCGTGAAGTTATGATTAGGTCAGGTATAATTTATAATACAGTCAAATCTGAGCATTAGTTACCTATTTTAACCACGAATTAAGATAGTACTATCTTAATTTATCGTTTTGACTATTTAAACCCATAAAGGGGATCAGTTAATCAATAATCGGTAGTTGCAACTTTGCAAGATATCTAGACAGTTTTCTGCGCAACGGTTGAATGTATTTCATTAAATAGTAAATATCTATACTCATTATGCATTTATACAGTATTATACACGTCATAAATACATTTATCTACCTATGTACCTACATTTTATTATTAGTCATACACTTTTATTAAAAATAAGAAAACAATTCAACAATTATATGTATACTTAATTGAACATATAGTTTGGAATTTAATAAGCACATTATTATCTTTGAGACTCGAGACTCCAGAGTGGCTAACAATTTTATGTTCGAGTGAAATCAGGTTCATACAGTTCGTTCCTTGTGCTGTACTTTTTCC